CATCCTGATGGCACTCATGAGGATTGTAATGCTGGTGATTGTAGTGAACCGAGGCCTACATAAAGCCTGGCTTTCGCAAGCTTTCATGGCAACATGTTGTAAGGATCCTTCTGAGTGTGAAACCTTGGTCGAGGCGTCTGACACACAAGAAGGTATTTCAAGCTCGGACCCGTGCGCTTCGGCCTTGATATCGCCGATCTTCTTGGCAGCCTCCCTTGCCTTGAGCTCACTAAGCATGACAGCGATCCATGGAACATGTGACTCAGCACACAGGTGGTACGTGCCTGAGTTGAAACTTTTGATGCTTTGGAAAGGTCCTGATGTCCAATTGTTTCAGTCAGAGGGTCAAGAGTGCAGATGCCTGCTCAGAGATTGGCCAAACTCAGACTGTCAGAGGCTCCTCCCATGGTAGCGGCGCTTTCAAGGAGGCTTTCTTTCCTTTCAGCTTTGCTGAGCCTTGGAAAAAGAGCCGGCTTCTCCAAGAAAAGCAAACTAACTTTCAAACGCAAAAAATTCTGCGAGTTTAGCTTTTGTTTGGCTCCCTGCTTTGCTTCTGCTGCTTTTGGAGAAGTTCACCACGACACTGGGCCTTGGCACAGCGCTGTTCTTTAGGGACCCTCCCACCACAGGTAGCAAGACAGGCATGAGGGCCTGACTGCGAGGGTGAGTGCTTCGCACGTGCCCTCTTCATCTCGCAAGCGAGCAAACCTTGTTCCAGCTTGAGCACTTGCACTTAATTGGCTGCCGCGCCTCCTGATCTGACTTAGCTCATGAGATCAGATGGACTAGCTTCGACTAGAGCGACTAGCGGGGTAAGCAGAGACTAGCAGAGGTAGGTCTGGGTGACCGGCAGCTCGTGAGCGCGCTCTGCTGCAAAGCATGCCTGGATGCTCGTTTGCTGGGCAGTGATTTGCGTGCGATAAACCCTGCGAGTAAGGGCTCGCAGATGTTGATCAGAGACTTATAAGGGATGGGCGGAAGCCAATGTTTGAACTTCATGTTTGCCTTGGAAATGATGCATGAAGCAAAACCACTCGCATGGTTTAGTCAGAGATCTGCTTGTTGAGCGGTGTTTTAAGAATGCTACTGGTGCCACATGAGGCCAGACGGATGCTTTCCTAAGTGGGGCATAAAACACATTGTTCATTTTATTTCATTTCATGTATGCATGGGGCGACGGGCCTATCAACTGGCCATCGCCAATGAAGCTCCACTTAATAGCAGCAGGTAATCGTAGCTGTTATGAAAAGTTGTGATGGTACCTGGGCAAAAGGCTTGTGCGTCCTGAATATTATGTGTGTTCGTACCTAGGACTGAACCTCAAGTATGAGTCTTACCTTAAAAGCTATTTCTCCCTGCTGGAGCTCTTGAAGCGCACGTCCGCCGCCTTCTCGTACTCCTCGCTTGACATTCGAGCTTTTGCCACCTTTGGTGTTGCCCGTCAATAGTCTTATCTGAGGAAGTTGGAGAATGTTTGGCCACTGATTGCTGCAAATCACAATCCCACTCCAGCACCCAATCCAATTTCTTCACCAGCTTTGACATCCAAGATCCCAAACTTCCGCATTCCAGGGCAGGATTTGTGTTGCATTGGCGAAGCAACCAGCAACTGGTCCTAAAACATTGCAAGAAAAACATACGACATATGGGTGGAAAGAAAGGCTGCCTCGACTGGTGTGCTCAGGCTTGCCCTGCTGGTGGGCTCCGTACTTCAAATTAGAAAAAAGGTCCCATAAGTTGAATTCAGTGTGCAGGAAAGGTCAGCGTTACTCTTGGCTGCCCGGCGAAGCACAGCGCCTTTGCCTCGCCACGGCGGTCGCCGTGCCTAGGTGTCAGTGCCAAATACTGGCGCAAATCCTTACCTCTACCCAGTGAGAATGCGATGCAGGTCTCCCCAACAACCTTTCCTCTACATCCTCCAAGTGTTGAAAATTTGCTGCACTGTGCTCACGTTAAGCGCATCCCCTTAGCGCTCCGAAAGACACTGTGAGGCTTCTGATTGGGCACTCAGGACTCGGCTCACTGTACAGCGACTGCGCCTCCTTGGCGACATCGACAGCTTCGTCAACCTTGGCCTCTGCCTGGGCATGAGCTCACAGGCAATGTGTGTGTCTAAGCACAAACCGTTCTTGTCTGAAAGTTAAGCCCCATGGCACAACCGGAACGGCAGGGTCTCGCAAGCCCAGGTAACACATCTCGATACCGCTCTGCAAAATCTGAAGCATTTTCCGTGGAATCCTTGGAAGTAGTTTCGGCTGCATGTTCCAGTGGCTCTCAACTAGCTCCTGTTTACGAAGCCTCCTTTGTAATTGTTGTTGTTGATGCTGTTGTTGTCGGTGCTGCTGCTGCTGCTGCTGCCGCCGCCGCTGCCGCCGCCGCTCCACGACGGATCACGCTAGTCGATTGTGCATCTTTTGGTTGCGGTTCAAATTTGCACTTCTGCCCACCCTTGGGCTTGGCCTTGGCTAGAAGATCGAATGACTTGTGCTTCAATCCGCACGCCTCATTCACATTGCCTACGTTATGCTAGCGCAAGCTACCTCAGAATAATGTTGTTCTCTTGTGCCTGCTAGACCGGAAGCTTGGGCCCCGACCAGGAGGACTTCCGCCATGGACATGACTCCCGCCGCGTCACCTTGCCAACGCCCATCTTTGCGGCCTGAGAATTTTGGAACGTGCGAAGTTGGGAAACTGGTTTGTTCAGCAAATCTATGCAAATGTCCAACAGCAAATTGATGTGAGCTCGTCCTTGTGGCGGCCAACAGTTTAACACTCAAGCAGTGCTCGTCGAGAGCTGGGCAAATGTCTCGGGCGGCTCGCGCTGCCCGCTCTGCAGTCGCAAAGTCCTCGTGTGCTGCTTGAGGCCGATGACTTAGTGCCCAGCCCTACTTGAAAAAGAAATGTCCTTGTTGTGCAGGTGTGCTGCAGCCAGGTTCTGAAACGCTTGGCCCTGGCACCGAGTTTTCAATGCTGCAACGTGCCCTCCTTGGATGGCCGTCGCTGGGTGCTTCCTGCCTTGCCAACGGGATCTTTGACCTTGGCACATGGGCGCCGCAGGGAAGGAAGCGAGCAGCAGTTCAATGAGTCCAACGGACTCCACGACTCGTACATCGATTCCCGCCATTTGACCCATCGCTCACACCTAACATGCAGCCTATCATGCTGCACAAGCCCTCCGTCCAGCCTGAGCAATGCTTCGAGAAGTCGAACCAATGCAAAACGTGAGTGTGAGTGAGTGAGTGTCGACCAGCACGGGGGAACTAGTTAGCGCAGACAAGCCGCCAACCAGCAGCATAAAATTGGGAATCAAAAAAACTCGAGCAAACATGGGCAATGCAAATGTGTGGCGATCAATTTGGAACGGCTAGGAATGCATGAGGACTTGGGTGGACTGCCATCAAATCCTGATGTAAGCAAGTGGAACAGCGACGGATGTGTCAGATAACAAGATAGCACCACAACGCAAGCAGCCCAGGACGGCAGTGTAAGGGCTCTGCCTCACGATGGCTCAATGCATCGTGTGCTGCGAAGATGGCCTTTTCCATCTCTATCCGCCTTGTGGTATTTGTGCAGGTCTATTGATTGGAGGGTAAACTAGCTGGGCGGCCTGGCAGGGATAGGAAATCTAGGATTCTTCGGTCGTCAAGGAGGTGTGAAATAGTCAGATCTCATCTCTGGCTACGGCTGTTCATGATTAACGGTACCTGATCCTTCTTAAGACTGAGATCTGAGGGGTGCACTTCACATGCATAGAGGAGAGCTTTGTCATGACCTGGCTGCACAAACATCAGTCCCAACCAAACATGGAAGCCTCCGTCCCTCTCCCTGCCTCAGCTTCGAGGGTTTCATCGTTAAGCCTCAAGCATGCGCAGGCTAAGGCTTGAAGCTAGAAGCTTCTCTCCCTCAACAGCTCAGACTAGCCAGAGCTTTCCAGGAACTGCTTTGGTTTTGAAAACCGCAACCTGGGATGCAGACCCGTTTGCTATTTGCAATGCTTTCTGCATAGCAGCAACAGCGTCCTAGCGAGGAGCAATCAAGCACGCAAATGTCTGAAACCTGTCGGGCTCAACATCCCCAATGAGTATCAGATTCAGATAGTACTATCATCGAAAGACTGTCGCAGGACTATGTCCTCTGGCGGAGGTTGTCTGATGGCCTGGAGGTTGGTGGGTGCCTGTCGTTGTCTTGTACAGACTGCCCAGAACACTGACTCAAAGTTGGAAATCGACTCGACGCATGCACCAAAAGTGCAAGAACTCCATCCCAAAACCTGTCATGACTGCTCACTCATTCTGCTGACCCTATGCAAATCGCTCGACTGCGTTGTGAGTTCGCCTCTTCATCATCTTTCTACATAAACGGAATGGACTCTGACAAGAGTCTACAGCAGCAACAGCATCCCATTGGCGCACCGGCGCCATCGACCCGAGCTTCTTACAGAGCAGAACAAATTTTGGCATTGGGGATACGGGCACGGAATATTTGCAACCTGGAAGCCAAAGCCTGAACTCTAAATTCACAAGTCCAAATCCTGATCATACCACGAACTGTTGATGCTTGAATCAGCGTGCCTGAATGCGAGTTTGACAGCTTCCCGTTTTGAGATGTTTTGAGGCTTGTCTTTGTTATCCGAGTCATCCTACGCCTCCTCTCCACAAATCCTGAGAAAGGAGGGCGCCTCCTGTTGTTCACGGCCAGAAGGTGAACAAGCATAGCCCTCTGCCTGCAGTGCAGCATCATTGCAGCAAATCCCGCAGAGCAGTGTAGACTCCGGTCTACTGCTTGCCAGCGCTGAACAAAGGATGAGAAAGCTTGAAACTCGGGCCCTGGCCAGGCACAGCAAGGCTTGCGCCTGAAAAGACCGCTGAATTTCCAAAGCCTCCAACCCCAGCCTTAACAGAAGTACACGCGCTGTGGCAGCGTCACAACCGGTGACCTCCCTCTTTTGATTGTCTCATGGGCTGCTGGACTCTGGACGTCGCTCGAAATCCGTAGGAAGTCTAATGGCGGTCCTCACTGCGCTGATCCTTCTTCTCGCGGGAGCGTGCCAGGGCCTCGGCTCCCCCACCCTACCTTTGGAACATGAACAGAAACTGCCAAAACGCCGATTCCTAAGCTGAATCTGTCCAGCGGCATCTTCTGAGGTCCATATCGCGCGCCAGGGCTCGCCGTTGCTGATCTGGGCTCGGACCTGAAATTATGCTGGACATAGGGAAGTTTGAAAAGAACTGGAATGACCCTTGAGCTCAAGTGGCTAGGTCCCTTGCAGCCAGGTTAAGGGCTTTGGTCGCACGTTGGCCACCAATGCCACGACTGTTGTAGAGAGCCAAGGCCTGACATCCCCTGTAGACAGACACCGCATCTTGAAGATCGTCCGGCTTGCCCTGCCTGATCAGCAGCTGGCCCAGCTTTTGTTGGCTGGTTCCAAGCAAGAAGCCACCTCTGCGTCTTGACTCGAACTGGTGGATTGCAGGTATCACCGGCAGACATAGCAGCTGTGATAGCCTACTCCATGCACACGTCTTCCTGCAAACACTGGCTAACAGCTAACTCTCCGATTCTTGTCCAAGAAGCTCCGCCAGCATCGTCAGGCAGTGTGCTTCATTTAGAGCATCCTGTGAGATGCTCTGAAAGGCTTAGGCCAAAATGGATTGTCGGGCCACGTGGGTCCAGAGCCCTGGCCCAAGCATCACTGACTCCCGTCCTCGCTCTGCCTCCAAAACCTCACGGCTGCGTGGAGTGACCTGACTACATACCCACAGGCCCACAGAGACTGTTCTTCTTGAAGTTCTGTGGTCGTCCTAGCTCCGTGGATGCAGCTCGATGCTGACCAGGAGCTGCAGCGCAGGCAGATGCTCTTGGAGATTGCACTGGGCGACGGCTGAGTGCTGCCTGGCGCTGCCCAGATTGCTCAACAGGCTCCATGCTGAGCAACTGAGCCCATGGCGACGCGGCTGCTTGACCCCGCCTCACTCTTCGGATGCAACATCTCTGCAAGGAAAGGCTTTTGCTGCAAGTGAACATGTGGCTTAAGCTTCCGGCACATCTTCAGTTTCTCTGAAGAGCTCTAAAGCCTGTCAAAAAGCAACAAATGAACAGGTCACGGCTTCAAGGGCTATTTGGCCATGTCCGAAGTCATGCTGCCTTGCATCAAGGTCCGTCCACGAAACAGTTGCGGAAGCATTAATATTGCACAGAGGGAAACCTATGGTGCAGAATCTATACAACAGCTACAACTCCAGCGCCTTCGTCGCGAGGCGGTGCCCTTCTTTGTTGCACGCCCGGCGGTCCTCCATCACGTATCCAAGTGTTGGACAGAAGGCTCTGATTTCAGCTTGGCAGGCAGTTAGCTTAGGAACATCAATCGCAGCCTGCCGGATCTAGATTCGAGCAGCCTCTATGCATCGGATTACTTCCAGAACAGATGCAAGCAAAAGGATGTTGCCTTGATCAACCTTCTATCACATCAGGAATCTCTCCAGCTTGAACGAGTTGAACAATCTTGCAACTGCACCCTTAAACGCCTAGTAGCTCATGGCAACTGAGTCCCTGACTCCTTTGAACTTGATGAAGATTTTCGCCTTGGGACATGCATGCTGGATTAAACATGCATGGAAAAACTCGATCAAAACCGTGCAGTCTCTTTAGCTGCCCTACCATTGGTGTACCTCAAACAGGACATTCAGCAGAGACTGATACTGGAAAACCTTAATGTATGAGGTTTCCTAAGAAACTGACCATCACTGCTAGCGTGGTGGCCTCTAGACCTGACGTCAGGCGCTCAGGTGGGAGACTGCGGGCCAAGTGCTCACCGTGAGCCTTTGTCCGCTTCATCCACAGCCATGTCGCGAGCTTGCCCAGCCTGTGCCACGGAGGTGTCATGAGCATCGCTTACTATTTCCAATTCCGAATACTACGCAACGTCATGTGCCAAAAGGTTTGAGAACTTCAAGCAGGCATCGTCTTAGGCTCAGGCGAATTTCAACGCCTCTTCCCGCTTCTTCTGGCCCCGCCTGGCACAACCAACATGTCCCCATGGGAGTCAAGGGCCCACATGGGCCATGCACCATGTTGCATGATTCCCTGCGCCCGCCGCCCACACACCCCATACGCATCCGCCACTGCTGCCTGTCAGAGCTAACATCTGCCATGGCTTGCAGAAGCCGAGCCTCCCAGGTGCAGTGTCAACAGGATAGGATGTCAGGGCTACCTAGCTCATCGCACAAGACTTGAAGACCCTTGTCTTGACGACTGGAACTACACGCTGACAACTTTTCACCAGTTGAAATCTCCCAGCTGTTCCTCGGCTGACTTGGAGGCGTATCTGGCCGAGGTCTGGAACACGGCCAACCTTATCCATAGGTCAAAAATCAAGAGTCAGCCATCATGGCCGAAAACGGGCTCCGCTTGAGAGCCCTGCTCATCGCGGAGAAGACGGTCAGCTTCTTTCCGACGCTCCTTGAGAAGTAGAACAACGGGATTGTCAATGACTTCTCGACACGACCGAAACACCCAAAACTGGACTGTGCAGACACACTCAGGCCCACCCGACATGTGATGATTAGACCACTGACCATTGATGAATTGCTGGCCTGACGAATCATAGCGCAGGAGACAAGCCGCGCTGCATCCGCGAGCCTTGGCAATTCTTAAAGAAGCTTTCGTTACTCCACTACTTCATCTAGTTCACTGTTCGGCACCAACTGGACCGAACAAAGATGGCCTGCGAATCGATAACAAACAAGAGATACTGCAAAGATGCCTCCACGAACTGACCTTCTAGACTTCTAGCTGCATAGCTTTCACCACATGATCTTGTCTACAAGCTCGTAAAGACAGGCAGACGACCCGCGTGTGTCGCCGCTTTGACGAAACACAGATAGTGACCTGTCTGTGTCCGCGCTGCCATCGTGAAATGCAAGAAGGATGACAGTCTACGATGACATGACAGAGTATGGAGAGGTCTTGCGAATGGATATGACTTCGTTTTCAAAGACTTCTCATAGCGGATGCAGTCCCAGCACCTCAACAGCATCACAGCGGACCTCTCCGCCAAGCGAAGGCCTTCATCGAGCTCCTCGATGCGGAGGCTCGCTGCCTCGTGGAGCTTTGGCGGAGCTTGGGCGAGCTTGGGATGCTGATCAGGCTGATGGTCCGACAGGGTCAAGTTCACTGCCTGGGGCTGCGACCGATTGCAGCAGCAACGCAGAGCCTTCCGCAGACGGACGCAGGACCGAAGGCTTCGCACCTGAAAACATAGCGGACTAAATACTTCCGAACACAACTACAGCGGCTACCAGAGACGATGATGGAACAGTTCGCAGAATCTGCCCTGCAAGGATGGGAACATGACTGCTTGACAAAGACAGGCCCAAACCAAGCAACAGGCAGTACGTAGCAGCAACACATAGCAGAGATGAGATGACACACGCTGCCTTCAGGCCCGACGGCCGCATAGCGCCTATGCAGGAATTGCGTGCCAAAGGAACCCACTGACTCACGGCACGGCACTGGGGTCTGACAGGATCATCTTGTGTGTGGGCTGCTAGCAGGGTTGCAGAACTGCATTCTGGATTTAAAAGACTGGGTCTTGAAGCCTGTGGGAATTTCTGTCTCGACAGGAAGTTGTGCAGGGGCTTTCATGGGCTTCGATTGCACACTGAAAGTTCAGCCTGATGCATTGTAAGCTCCTCTCCTCATTGTCCAGGGATGTCCAAAGTTCAAAGTTTATGTAAGCTGCAGATCAATGGCAGCAGTCCTTCAATTTCAGCAATGAACAAGAGAAGAACAAAAGCACATGCCTCGTCAGCTCATCATTCCACATCACAAGCCGATGAGAGAGCTGCTTGCAAACGACACTTTAAAGCTGAAGTGGTAGGTGGATGCACCTTTTTGTGAGATGTCCAAGACGGTTGTCTGCAGGTGTTGCAGAAACGGATTGAGAGGTAGTGACGCCTTTCTCCAGTGGCATAACTGCATCGTCGAAAAATCAAAACGACTGCGGCCTGAAGTTCGAGGACGTTCACCGCTGCTACATTACTACGAGGCAACTTCAACACCAAGGTTGTTGCAAGAGACCTCCTCTAAAGTTGTACAACACGTCGGTTGTGAGCTATGCTATGTGTGACGAAGACCAGCTCTGCCATCAAGCGGATGCCTACAAGCCTTGCTGTTGCCCCCCTTGTGACTCCCACGCGCCCTTTTCACATGCGCCTGTGGTCCATGGATCATTTACCCTGAGGGCAACTCTCGGCTTTTAGCATACTGGAAAACAGATCAGCGCCCGCACCGAAAGGCCTTAGACCCAGTTCCAAGAGCTTATGGGATGCGCGGGGCGACTCTGAAATTGGGCTGATTTCAGGAAGCTTAAACCTTCTCCGCAAGCCAGCAGCTAATGCACAAGCTGCTACAAGTAGGGGGAGACTTCCTCTCAGAAAGTACTCACTACAACTGCTGCTTGACGAGGCTAGGGATCAACAATAAGTCAATGAACGCAGCAAGGGAGAGGTCCAATTTCCAAATCAGCATCCACGGTAAAGCCAGAGATTTCAACAATGGTGGTTTGGAGTCTCGAAAGACAGTCCTGTTCTGGAGAATAGACTTGAATAGCCCGTCCTGGGATTCGACAGGTCATGACATCCGTTGCTAGTCACCGAACACGCCTACTATGTGACAAATATTCCTTTGAGTTCTCCTGCATTTTGCCAATGCCTGAATCCACCTGGACCGCGGTCCAGGACGATGTTCTTCGCCGATCTTCGGCGATGCCTGTGTCACGCCGGCAGCGCGGGTCGAAAGGCCAAAAGCCAGGGCATGAGCCCCTTCATCAGGCTGCATATGTACTGTAGCAGCTGCCACATGGCCGGCTTTCTCTATCTAAAGCTAATCTCCCTTAGCAAGATGCCTGGAAAGTATGGCTGGGGCAGCACGGACTTTGCTTTTTGGATTGTCGAGAAGACTTGCTTCATGGCAGGCATCTTTCCAGGTAATTACAAGATGTGCGTCCAAAGTAGATAGCATGTGGAATCCGAAAGGATCCCACACAACCCAATCTAAAGAAGGACCAATCGACGACACTAGTTCGGATGGCTTACTGAAGGTTAACTTGACATCACGTAAACTCAGCTTCAAGACATGGCTCTCAACTTTGACATCCAAAGAAAACACGCTTCCACGAATCAGGATTACCATGACCTGACCCAGGCCCCCGCACAACGGCAATCCTGTACATGGGTCGGGTGTTTCAGACATTTCGTCAGAGGTTGCACGTAAGAAAGCGCTCAGACAAAAATGCAATTTTTATGAAAACAATCTTGGGCTGCGTATTTATCAAATAAGCAGCACGAAGTTCAGAACATCAAATGCGCTGAAACTCCCGTTTTCTTTACAAACTGCTGGACATGCCTTAGCAACGCCTTTGGAGGAGTCGTTTGGGAGGCAACGTGCTTCTTGCACAGGAAGGGGGCTGCTCAAACTGAGATCCCAGTCTAAAAAGTAGTCGTTTGAGAAGCCCTGTACCAACTCAGAAAGTCTCCGACTCTCCGCGATGGCCTTTGGTAGCTTTGCTCTGCAGCATTCTCAAAAGAGAACACGGGCATGCAATTGTCCCCAGCGAGCCCCCATCGCCCCGCGGTTGCAATGACCTTCATGTATATTCATTCCTGCAAGCTTCTACATGCTTCAAGATGAGGCCGGTCTCGCTGCAGACTGCCGTATCTGCCATCTAAAGCATAAATTCATGGATTGCTAGGAGGCGGTGCAAAGTTCTGCAGACTCTGCCCCTTGCCTCCAGCCAAATCTTTTGCAAAAAGTCTGAGCAATTCGGAACCCAGCTAGAGCCAAATTACATTGATGCTGAATTGAACTCATGATCCAAAAACAGCAGGGTTCCAATAGCTAACCACCGATCACCCTCAACAGTGAGGCTCATTTTGTTCGGAGCTGGCTACACCATCAATGGGCTGCGCGGGAGGGGCCCTGACAGCAGGCACATTTTAAGCTTGGAAGCAGCAGTACAGGGTCACATGCGTCAGTATGCTCGGCCTTCGGCAAGGCTACTGAGGACACAGCACAAAGATGCACAGAGCATACACAAATCTGAGTAGATTGCAGTATCTAGGACATCTGTTTGAGAAGATTGCTTGCCGCATCGCAGCAAAGCCAATTATTTGCAAGGATCAAAGGCCGGATGTATGGCAAATCTGGCAGGTCAAGCAACCTTGCAGGTGTTTCTCAGCATGCGCATGCAGCAGAATTATGAGGCGTGCCATGTTCAAGGTGTTCAAGCCTGAAAGCGTCGGCGACGTAGAAATGGAAGAGCTGGGGCTCACCTGGCAAGTTCATGCGGAACAGCTGGACTCGGCTGGATAGTACCCATGTTATAATGTACCACGATGAGCTGCTTGCACGGAGGCACGAGAACGTCAGATCCATAGGTCACCACGGCATGCATGGCAGTCCAATCTTCCTGTGCCTCCCACGGCAGCGGCTTCTCGCCTCTGATGTGGACTCATGGATAGTGCACAGCATAATACAGCATACACATGAGTGCAACATCGGGCCAGATCCTGCCGAGATCAAGAGCAGTTGTTATCAAAATTGATGCCCATTGATACAAGGTGCCAGGTTACTTTCGTTTGCTTCCAGGTAAGTACAGGACAGTGCATTGCAACCTCTGTGCAGGAAATGCTTGGTTAAGAAATGTAGAGACTACGTCAGCTGGATAACACCAAAAGCATGTCCTTCTATCTAGCAAATGAAGGGTACTCAACGATTTGGGACCATGTCTTACTTGGCGAGGACTTCAAGAACAGGGAATATAGACTGGTACGTTTCTCATTTTGCTTGTTTCCAGAGCGCCTA